GGGAAAGAGGTGGAGGAGGTGGAAAGAGGTGGAGGAGGGGAAAGAGGAGGAGGAGGGGAAAGAGGTGGAGGAGGGGAAAGAGGAGGAGGAGGAAGAGTGTACTTAACGCAACATGGGAGGGAGTGAGGGTGACGTTAGAGCGCTATATACAGTATATCTTGCGCTTGTGAGACCTCAGTGGATTACGCAGTTCAGTTCTGGTCACCGTATTACAGATTGGATATAGAATCCTTGGAAAGAATTCAGAGGAGAATGACAAGACTAATCCCGGGCATTAGGAACCTTGAGTATAGAGACAGGTTAAAGCATCTTAATTGCACTCACTCGAGAGACGTAGAGTGAGGGGCGACATGATAGAGGTGTATAAGTTGAAGTCAGGGCTGAACAAAGGGGACATTACAAAGGTACTCAAACTATCCAACCAGGAGCGAACTCTTAACAATGGTTTTAAATCAGACAAATTTAGATTCAGGCGCGAAATAGGTAAACATTGGTTTGGAAATAGATTAGTGGACGAGTGGAACAAGTTACCAAACATCATCATTAACTCGAATACGCTGGATAGCTTCAAACATACAGTAGGTTGGATGGATATATGAGCAATAGGGGTTGGGTGTAAACGGGACTGCCCAGTATGGACCAATAGGCTCGCTGCAGTTTCCTCCATTCTTATGTTCTTATGAGCGTGAGTGGTGTTAATGCGCCATGGGAGGAGGAGGAGGAGGAGGGAGAGAGCAGCGTTGCAGTCTTCCGTTAGCCACAACCAAGGTGAACCACAACAAAATTACTCTCTTCCTCCGGTACTATCGTTAGGCCGAGAGTGTCTGGTGTCCCACAAGGTTCTATTCTAAGTCCGATATTTTGTTTGGTTGACTCCAGCATAAGAGTGAAGTACTTTTTATTTATCAACAACAGTGATCTTTATGAACCTTAAAAAAAATAACTAAGTTTTCACAAAAGAAAAACCCCCCGCAAAATAAGCTTCTGTGGGGATTGGAAACGGAGATTATAAGTGAAAACAAAGCACTAAGACGCTACACATCCTCACTACAGTCAACATCCAGCATCTCACTCGTTATCAGTACAACATGGGAACATTAGTAATATACTGTAGGTCTCTAGTACTCTTATCTCCCCCACACTATTGCCAGACACAAAGTTTCCGGGTCCATAAAATGAGTTCTGAGAATAATGACTTTCTTGGCAATAATAATAAAAAATATATGGAAAGAATTGTAAACTCGATGTTGCCAAAATTTTATGATATTTACTACTACTATTACTACTACTACTACTACTACTACTACTACTACTACTGCTACTGCTGCTGCTACTACTGCTATCTTTTTTACTACTACTACTATTACTACGACTACTATTACTACTACTACTATTATTATTACTGCTACTACTACTACTACTACTACTAATACTGTCTTAGTTATTCTTGAATCTTTTTATCACTTGAGAATGATACAACAGGACACATTTAGGTGTACTTAAGACACTGTAATAAAATCTAAAAGCACTTTGATACACCTAGACACTTTATGGTAACCTTTGACCCCGTGTGGTGACCTTTGACCCCTTATGGTGACCTTTGACCCCGTGTGGTGACCTTTGACCCCTTATGGTGACCTTTGACCCCGTGTGGTGACCTTTGACCCCTTGTGGTGACCTTTGACCCCTTATGGTGACCTTTGACCCCTTATGGTGACCTTTGACCTCTTGTGGTGACCTTTGACCCCGTGTGACAGTTTAAGTACAGTGTGTTCCAGAAAGTGTACGCCGAGACAATATGGAATCCAGTTAAAATGATTCGGTAAATGATCCTGTGTGTGTGTGTGTGTGTGTGTGTGAGAGAGAATTCAAAACTGTATATTATCCAATTAGCAGAAGTGTTGTAGTGGACACAATCATATACAGTACTGCCTATACTTACGTTGTCTATAATGATACTTTGTTAAAACAACTTCAACCAGGAAAAAAACTTGTACACACACACACACACACACACACACACACACACACACACACACACACACACACGAGACCCAGCAGTTAGATGGAAAGAAAACAGACCCTCTCCCTTGTTAATACACCATTCCCTGCTTAACCCCTCGTTAATCGTTAACTACATCAGCCTCGGCTTAACCACTCGATAATCGTTAACACTTGACTCTCCCCTTCACCTTTCATAACTTGTTAACACATTGATCCCCGTTATTAAGCTTTATCAGTTATTATCACATAAGTTTTGAGATGGTTCTAAGTTAACTGTTATCACCTTAGTTCCTACTTGACTCTTAACTGTTAACACATCAGTCCTCACCAAGCCCTTTGTTAGCAGGCAACACATCACATCAACCTTACTCTTCGTTAATCGGTAACGCATAAGAACACCATTCTAAGACGCAAGCATAGTGCGCTAGGATGAGAGAGAGAGAGAGAGAGAGAGAGAGAGAGAGAGAGAGAGAGAGAGAGAGAGAGAGTTGCTTATAGGAAGAGGAAGAATCATGGATGCTGAGAGAGAGAGCGAGAGGGGGGAAGAGATACTATATGTGAGAGAATTTTTAGTTTAACAAATTTATTGACAAAGCTTGTAGGACAGTTTGCCTATTCTGAGTAATTCAGTCAGGTCTTGACACTGAGGGTGGTATCACTTCTCACTGCCACGCAGGACAGAGGTTCATACACAAAGAAATACATCATATTCATTAACAGCTATAAATGTATAGAGGTCAGGTTCATGTGGGTAATGTCACTGTTCACTGCCATGCAGGACAGAGGTTCGTACACAAAGAGATGCATCATATTCATTGACAGTACATATACATATATGTACACACACACATACACATATACATACATATACATATATACATACACATATACATGTACATATATATACACATATGCACACATACCCAGGGACGTTCTTTGTCTCACAAATTTGCTTAGCTTTTTCTGTAGCATATGAAGCGGTAGATAATGATAAGTCATATGATATAATTCTATTTAGATTTCTGCAAAGTTATCTGATAGAGTCCCTCATGAGAGAGATTGATATGAAGGTAGAAGCACATGGAATAGGTGATCAGTATTAAATGGATTAGGTCATGGTTAACTGGTAGGAAAAGAAAGAGTCAGCATATAAAATGATTAAAAGTCAGACTGGGGTGCGGTCAAAAGCGGAGTTCCCCAGGGATCTGTATTTAGGCCCTCGTTTGTTATATTCATTAATGATCTTGATTTAGGCATAACTAGTAGGATAGTAAATTTGCAGATGATACCAAAATGGGGAGAGTGATAAATTCAGACAGTGACTTTGAACACCTTCAAAGAGATCTAGATACCTTACATGAGTGGTCAGTAAACTGGCAAATGAATTTTAATACTGATAAATGCAAGGTACTACAGATAGGGAAGACGAATACAAACGTTAAGTATAAACTAGGTAACACGGAAATAGAAAACTCAGTTTGTGAAAAAGATCTAGGTGTATTTGTTAGCAACGACTTGAAACCTAGAAAAAAATGTATTAGCGTTCGCAACAAGGCAAACAGGATTCTTGGGTTCATATTCCAGGCCTGTGAGTAACAGAACTGCTGACGTTATCTTGAAACTTTACCTAGCATTAGTGAGGCCACACATGGATTATGCGGTTCAAGTTCTGGTGTCCTTATTATAGAATGGACATAGATTCTTTGGAGAGAGTACAAAGAAGAATGACAAAAATGATCCATAATATTAGAAACCTTCCATATGAAGAAAGACTGAAAAGCTTTAGGCTTACATTCATTAGAGAGGCGTAGAGTTAGGGGAGATATGATAGAGGTGTACAAGTGGGTAAGTCGGATTAACAAGGGTAAAATGGAAGATGTTCTAAAGCTCAGTAATAACGAAATAACTAGAACAAATGGCTTTAAATTAGATAAATTCCGATTCAGAAAGGATATAGGCAAGCACTGGTTTGGTAATAGAGTTGTGGATATGTGGAATAGGCTACCGAGTGCTATAGTAGGATCGGGGACGCTAGGGAGCTTCAAGACGAAGTTGGATAGGCACATGGAAGTGCTGGGATGGGTGTGAAAGGGATCTGCCCTGCATGGGCCAGTCGGCCTCCTGCAGTATCCCACTTTCTTTCTTATGTTCTTATGTTCTTACAGTTCTTATACATATACGTCGGTCAGATTCATGTGGGTAATGTCACTCTTCACTGCCATACAGGACAGTGTGACGAGAGTTAAAGTCGCCCATACACAGCATAGCATTGTTACCTGATGGCTTTGGTAACACGTCCGCTGGCAGTTCATTACACCGAACATAGATGTTATACAGCGAAAATTGATTGTATGCTGTCTTTACTGTAAATTGTTGACAGTGAATACTTTCATCATTGTGAGTTTTAATCCATTTACAGACCAGACCATTCTTTACATAAGTGAGCAGGCCACTTCCTGCTCCACTATTATATGCTGTAAACCCAGCTATGCTGGGTGCAACTTTCTTCTGGGTGCTGGACGTGTAAGGTTCTTGTAAACCAATTACATCAATGTCAAAAACTTTAGCAAACCATTGTAGGTCATTAATTCTGCGGTTAACACTCCGGATGTTCCATGAAATGAACCTAAGCGTTCGTGTTACTTTTCCCACCTTGAGAATGAGAGAGAGATAGAGTGAGAGAGGGAGGGAGGGAGGGAGGGAGGGAGGAATGCTGTGTGTGTCAATGAGAGAGAGAGAGAGAGAGAGAGAGAGAGGAAGGAATGCTGTGTGTGTCAATGAGAGAGAGAGAGAGAGAGAGAGAGAGGAAGGAAGGAATGCTGTGTGTGTCAATGAGAGAGAGAGAGAGAGAGAGAGAGAGAGAGAGAGAGAGAGAGAGAGAGAGAGAGAGAGAGGAAGGAAGGAATGCTGTGTGTGTCAATGAGAGAGAGAGAGAGAGGTGAGGCAAGGATGTTGGGAGAGGGTAGAGTGAGGGAGAGCAGATCACTCGCCCTGCAGCCAGGCACCAGGGCGGACGGACCCCTGCCACGCTCTTACTCTCTGGCCCGGCCGCTCTCACACACACACACTCTGGCTCTCCCACTACCTCCGTTTCGCTAATTAATGAAGCTAGTTTGTCAGGTGCATTAGGTGTGGAACTCAGGTGTGTAGGTGAGGTGGTCAGGTGTGGTGAGGAGCTGGTGGCGGGTGTGTGGTACATAAAAAAAGAGTTTGATTATGTTGTTTTTTGATGTGTTGAGTAATAATGATTGTTGCTAGAGTGAAAACAATACAGTGTGTGTGTGTGTCGTTGTTCACTGTGTCATGAGGAAGGAAGTCAACTGGGGTTTTATATAGGCGTTCATTATCACGTAGTCACTTTTTACGAGTGTCAGGAAGGTGTGAAGAAAATATTGACACAATGATCAAGGAAAACTGGCTGTTGGTTTGGCTGGTTTATAATACATAATAAATAATTGTGATAAAACATTTAGTGAACTCATTATTTCGTGCAACAGTTTGGAAATATTACTGATTCATATTTTTTTTTATTTCTAAGATTGAAATTGAATCACCAAAAAAATGAAATAAAAAAATCAAAGTTATAAAATTGATATAATATTGTATGGTATAAATCCGTTCAACAGTATCTTACAGTGTTGTGGAGTGTGATAGAGAAGAGTTAACTATCAGGGCAGGTGTTTGAGTACCGGCGCGGAGTGTGAGCCAGACCACAGCGCCAACTGAAGTCACTACTACCTTGTGGGAGGAACACTGGTATGTGACTCCTGATAGTAACTGTCGAGACTTTAAGGAACATTACTGACGAAGAAGTAGGAGGTGAGAGCATTGACCAGCGGCGTCACCACCAACAGTTGAACACACCACCCCATACCTCGGGGCAGTGGGTCACCCTCCCTCTGTCTCTACTCACACACACACTTCCTTCCCTCAGCCTCTTCTCAACTCGCCTCCATCATCTTCCACATTTATTATCCATTATTATTATGTTAAAACCAACACTATAAAATACTATATAGTATTTCGATTAGTTTATTCTCTGTAATGTAATTTTCAAATAATATCTGTTAACAAATACAAATAATTTTCTGACGGTAGAAATATTTGGTAAATTAATTTCCATTTAATAGTTTACTCTAGTGTGAGTTGTGTCTGCCTCGGTACTCTGCCGTGAGACTCCCTTAAACACACACCAATATTACCAAGCTGTTACCATCTCCCAAACTGTCTAGAAAAACTTCAAACACTCTCCTCTGACAAGTTGTATACACTCCCCAAGTAACCCAACAAAGTTTTATAAACTCATTACATCAGACTCTCTGAATCCTAGTCCAGGTTCCAAAGCTTTTCTCACAAGACTCGAACTTTCCATTTGGCTAAACTTTACATTTTCTCACGTACGACACAGCTGACAACCCTTCTTCCTGATCACCTGGTGACACCTTCACCCCATGGCCTCCTCGTCCCCTGCCCTTGGCGTTATGGCCGCCCCGCCATAAACTCCACTATACTCACCTCTGTTACAACTTGAGACACTATAGCCTCACCATCCCCGGGTCAGACACTGGAGACAGACGTCCGCTGGTCACGGCCACGTTGGCTCCACGACTCAGCCATGACCAGAAAAGTTGAAGGAAAGAGACGAAAAGTGAGAGCCAGGAACGTGATAATGAACGGGCGCGGAGTTTACGGGATGACAAGTGCTGAAGGAGGTTCAACACGCCGCGGAGGACTGGTGGAAAAGTTGCTGGTGATGGCGGTGATGGTGAGTGGCCTCTTGGCCATCCTGGCCAGCCTCCCCACCGCCCGGGCAGAAGGCCAGTCAGCTGATAAAGGTAAGTTGGGCTTTACATTTAAAGTTACGCTGTTTTAGATCTCAAGATTTGATGTTTAGTGGAAAAGTTTTATTGGTACGTCGTCACTTATTTTCTCTATTTTTCCGTTACTTCTATTATGTTCTTCTCGTGTTTGTTGTCGTGTTTGTGTGTACTGTCACGTGTTCTGCTTCACACACACACGGCACAACACTGTGTTCTCCTAGGTCTCGCAACACAATGTTCTATCGTCTAACTATTTTAATTTAGGATAAAAAATAAATTAAGTATAAATAAAATAAATAAATAAATCAATCAAATAAATCCCCCCTCAAAAAAAATCACCAGTTAAACGAAGATAATTTTTGTTGAAATGAAAAATAAATAAAACTATTAAACCTACCAAGTAAAATATAAGCGAAGGTTGTGAACAAACTAAAAGAATTACATAAATAAAGAGAGTTTTCCCCCCAATGTTATATTATACTTCACACAGCCCTCATTGCCAAGCTCGTTCTAATATCCTCTTCTTGATTATACTTTGCCATCAAAATATTACCTTGACAATATTAATTTCCTCTGTCCTCCACACAACATTACTACCACTCAACACTGCTACCACAACACCACTACCACAGCACCACTATCTGAATCCCAATACCACTACAAAACAATACCACTACCACACAACACCAGTATCACAACACCACTACCACACAACACCTCTACCACAACAACACCACGACCACACAACACCTCTACCACACAACACCTCTACCACACAACACCACATGTATATTACGTACAGTGTAACCTCTATTTAACGAACTAAATCGAGATAAGTCCGTTATATCGAGAGTCCGTTAGGTTAGGTTGGGTTAGGTCAGGTCACGTTAGGTTAAGTCAGGTCAGGTTAGGTCAGGTCAGGTTAGGTTAGGTTAAGTCAGGTTAGGTTAGGTCAGGTCAGGTTAGGCCCGCATGAGACGCCCGACCATGTTCGTTTCCTGAACTCGTTTGGTTCATCCGGAGTGAAACGTCCCGAGCGGAAACCTTTATAGCCACACCATCCGGAAGCTGTCTCTCCCCTTAACGCTGTATAATGGCGCCCAACACCTGTATAGCCACACCATACGGAAGCTGTCTCTCCCCTTAACGCTGTATAATGGCGCCCAACACCTGTATAGCCACACCATCCGGAAGCTGTCTCTCCCCTTAACGCTGTATAATGGCGCCCAACACCTGTATAGCCACACCATCCGGAAGCTGTCTCTCCCCTTAACGCTGTATAATGGCAACACCTGTATAGCCACACCATCCGGAAGCTGTCTCTCCCCTTAACGCTGTATAATGGCGCCCAACACCTGTATAGCCACACCTACCCATAAACTGGTTGATAAGAAGCGAGGTGAGTACAGGAAGATACTGCAGGTGCAGACAGACAGCTGGACGGACTTGTGGCAGACAGGTGAACGGGACTAGTGCAGACAGACAGACAGCTGGACGGACTAGTGGCAGACAGCTGAACGGGCTTGGTGGCAGACAGACAGACAGCTGGACGGACTTGTGGCAGAGAGGACAGACGACAGCTGGACGGACTTGTGGCAGAGGAGGACAGACAGCTGACGGACTGTGGGAGAGAGGAGGACAGACAGCTGGACGGACTGTGGCAGAGGAGGACAGACAGCTGGACGGACTTGTGACAGAGGACAGACAGACAGCTGGACGGACTTGTGACAGACAGACAGACAGCTGGACGGACTTGTGGCAGAGGACAGACAGCTGGACGGACTTGTGGCAGAGGACAGACAGACAGCTGAACGGACTTGTGGCAGAGGACAGACAGACAGCTGGACGGACTAGTGGCAGACAGCTGGACGGACTAGGTGGCAGACAGACAGACAGCTGAACGGACTTGTGGCAGAGGACAGACAGACAGCTGGACGGACTAGTGGCAGACAGCTGGACGGACTTGTGGCAGACAGACAGACAGCTGGACGGACTTGTGGCAGAGGACGACAGACAGCTGGACGGACTAGTGGCAGACAGCTGAACGGGCTTGTGGCAGACAGACAGACAGCTGGACGGACTAGTGGCAGACAGCTGAACGGGCTTGTGGCAGACAGACAGACAGCTGGACGGACTTGTGGCAGACAGCTGAACGGATTCTAGGCAGACAGACAGACAGCTGGACGGACTTGTGACAGAGGACAGACAGACACAGCTGGACGGACTTGTGACAGAGGACAGACAGACAGCTGGACGGACTTGGGACAGAGGACAGACAGCTGGACGGACTTGTGGCAGAGGACACAGCTGGACGGACTTGTGACAGAGGGACAGACAGACACAGCTGGACGGATTGTGGACAGGAGGACAGACAGACAGCTGGACGGACTCAGGTGGCAGAGCAGCTGAACGGGCTTTGGCAGACAGACAGACAGCTGGACGGACTAGTGGCAGACAGCTGACGGACTAGTGGCAGACAGCTGAACGGGCTTTGTGGCAGACAGACAGACAGCTGGACGGACTTGTGGCAGACAGCTGAACGGACTTGTGGCAGACAGACAGACAGCTGGACGGGACTTGTGACAGAGGACAGACAGACAGCTGGACGGACTTGGACAGAGGACAGACAGACACAGCTGGACGGACTTATGACAGAGGACAGACAGACAGCTGGACGGACTGTGGCAGAGGACAGACAGCTGGACGGACTTGTGGCAGAGGACAGACAGCTGGACGGATTGGCAGAGAGGACAGACAGCTGGACGGACTTGTGGCAGAGACAGACAGACAGCTGGACGGACTTGTGGCAGAGGACAGACAGCTGGACGGACTCTAGACAGAGACAGACAGCTGGACGGACTTGTGACAGAGGACAGACAGACAGCTGGACGGACTTGTGGCAGAGGGACAGACAGACAGACAGCTGGACGGGACTTGTGGCAGAGGACAGACAGACAGCTGGACGGACTTGTGGCAGAGGACAGACAGCTGGACGGACTTGTGGCAGGACAGACAGACAGCTGGACGGACTTGTGGCAGAGACAGACAGCTGGACGGACTTGTGGCAGAGGACAGACAGCTGGACGGACTTGTGGCAGAGGACAGACAGGTGGACTGGCTTGTGACAGGACAGTACAGCTGGACGGACACAAGCTATAGCTACCGCCTGCTTCATCTCACCGACTTAACAACATATATTTTGTTCATCACTAAAGAATTCTACAACACGTGTAAAAATTGTCAAAATTGTCTTATACAGTAAAATTCCGTTATATCCGAAATCCGTTATGTGTGAGACCCCAATTTAACGGAATATATGAAGAGATAAGTCCTTTATATGCAGGTTTCACAATATATGTATTTCACTCAGGTATGATAATGTTAAAATTTATTTCATATGTACAACAATACCGAATAATTATGCTTATAATGAGTATGAAAGTCGTTACAATGTTCTCTGTAATAATTGTAACTTTTGTAAATCTTGGATATTCTGTACTCGTATTCTTGAGTAAATGACAACATTATCCCTACATCTAGTGGGCGGTGGTAGGCGTTAGTGGGTGGTGGTAGGCGTTAGTGGGCGGTGGTAGGCGTTAGTGGGCGGTGGTAGGCGTCAGTGAGTGGTGGTGGGAAGTGGTATGTATTGGTGGTTGGTAGTGGGTGGTGGTGGGCGGTGGTGGGCGGGGGGGTGGGGCGTTAATGGCGGTGGTAGGCGTTGTTTTTCGAGAGGTGACAGGCGTTGATTGGCGGCGGTGGCAGGTGAGTGGGCGGTAGTAGGCGTTGGTGTGTAGACGCACGCCGGGCGGTGGTAGGCGTTGTTGGGAGGTAAGGGGCGCGATTGGCAGTGGCAGGCGCAGTGGGCGCTGGCAGGCGTTAGTGGGCGGTGGCAGGCGTTAGTGGGCGGAGGCGCGAAGTGGTAGGCGTTAGTGGGCGGTGGTAGGCGTTAGGTGGGCGGTGGCAGGCGTTATGGGCGGTGGTGGGCGCAGGGCGGTGGCGGGCGTTAGTGGCGGTGGCGGGCGTTAGTGGGCGGTGGCGGGCGCGGGCGGCAGGCGTTAATGGACGGTAGAAGCGTTAATGGGCGGTAGCAATGGGCGGTGGTAGGTTAATGGGCGGTGGTAGGCGTTAATGGGCGGTAGGCGTTAATGGGCGGTGGTAGGCGTTAATGGGCGGTGATAATAAACGTTAGAAGACTGTGCTAGTTATCAATGGGCGGCAGGCGTTAATGGGCGGTGGTAGGCGTTAATGGGCGGTAGAAGTGTTAATGGCGGTAGCAGGCGTTAATGGGCGGTAGCAGGCATTAGTGGGTGGGTGATAATAAACGTTAGAAGATCAGCAAGCATTGATGGGCGGTGGTAGGCGTTAATGGGCGGTAGGCGTTAATGGGCGGTGGTAGGCGTTAATGGGCGGTAGCAGGCGTTAATGTAAGGCGGTAGCAGGCATTAGTGGGCGGTGATAATAAACGTTGTAGGCGATCAGCAAGTATTGATGGGCGGTGGTGGGTGGTGGTGGGCGGTGGTAGGCGCCACGGGCGGTGGTAGGCGTTAATGGGCGGTGTGTAGGCGTTAACGGGCGGTAGCAGGCATTAGGTGTGGGCGGTGATAAACGTTAGAAGACTGGAAGTAAGCATTGATGGGCGGTGGTGGTAGGCGTTAATGGGCGGTAGTGGGCGGTGGCAGACATTGCCTGGTGGGAGTAGTAGAGAGT